TTGTATTTACTGCCTTCTTTTATTATTGAATATTTTTTCTTTCTGTTTTCATGTTGTTTCACTAATTTTATCATCCAGTCATTTGTTGTTTCCATGTAAGTTAGTAAGCCAATAGTTGTTGTCTTGTATGACAATTCTAGCTGAATAAGACCTCTTCCACCTTCTTTACGGGGTATGTATAGACGGTCTACATCAGCCTTTGGATGATGCATCTTATACTTAGAAAGAAGCTTTCTTGTTTTAGAATCCATTTGTCTGATGTCATTTAGAGTCCAGTTCAAGATGTTGAAACTATATTGGACCACTGGGATGGCAAGGTTATTAATGGCCATAATTCTGTTCTGAGAATTCAATTCAGTTTTTAATACCAGTCGTACCCTTCTATAGTACTCTTTACGCACTATTTCTTTCATTTTCTTATGGTGAATTCCTTCACTCTCATTTACACCTAGGTACTTATAAGCTTCTCCTTGTTCTAAATCTTTTATTGTTACAGCAGGGTCTAAACTAATAGAGGAAGTTTGTTGTAGAAGGATCCTCGTAAAAACTGTAGCTTTAGCACATTTATCCAAATTGAATTTCATTCCAATGTCTTCACTGAAGCATTTTACAGTTTGCAGAAGACCTTCCAGCTCATTGTCATTCCTAGCATACAATTTTAAGTCATCCATGTAAAATAGATGGTTTATTTTCTTTTGAGCTATTTTGTAACCGCATTCTGTCTTATTATTATTATTATTATTATTATTATTATTATTATTATTATTATTATTATTATTATTATTTTCTTTGATTTCTGGCGTTTACACATTTCTTTCCGGGTCTCGCCCAGGGACCTAAGGTTAGAAATGGCATCATGACACTTTCCACTGACAGAAAAAAAAAAAAAAAAAGAATTAAATTACATAGATAAAGCCCTTCGTAAAGTGTGGGCTGTACTTGTCAGAACAATTTTTGTATCTCCTTGAGGCATGGACTTCATTATTATTATTATTATTATTATTATTATTAAAACTTTTATTATTGTTATTATTATTATTATTATTATTATTATTATTATGTTTACCCATTGTTTTGTGTAATATGAGACTCAACAAGACAAGTTTTTTGGTATCAGAAGATGCAAACAGTTGAGGTGTCATACAACCATTGCCATTATTATTATTATTATTATTATTATTATTATTATTATTATTATGTTTACCTATTGCTTTGTGTAGTATGAGACACAAGAGACAAGATTTTTGTATCAGAAGATGCAAACCACCTGAGGTGTCTAGTCACCCATTACCATTATTATTATTATTGTTATTATTACAATTACTATTATTATTATTATTATTATTATTATGTTTCGAGATTGCTTGTTGCTGCCTCCAAATTCCTATGTGAAAACTTATGAGACTGTAAGTCAACAGATCTTGAATGTTAGTACAACTGGTTGGATAAAACTTTCCTGATTTATAATAATAATAATAATAATAATAATAATAATAATAATAATAATAAACAACCACACCTACTGCAGTGGCAAAGAACCCAAAAAAGAAAGTAAAATCAAATGCAATGTACCAAATGCAGAAATGATGGCAAGATAAGCATCTTTATGTTCAATATTCTGCACGTAGCAAAGAAGCTGATGTAGACAAATTCCGTGTCCATCAGTGGTTACGTAATGCGGGGTTAAAAGCTGAATGCAAAGGTTTTATTCTTTCTGCAATGCTTGCTAACTAGAAATTACCAAGCACGCATACAGAAAAATTATGTTAACCCTCAAATGCAGATTTTGTGATAAATATCCAGAAATAATTGATCATCTTGTATCAGATTGCACGGTGTTATCATCCACTGAATATAAAAAACTAGGCATGACAGAAGTGGCCAATATCTGTATAGGAAAATATGCAACTTTTACGAGAATTGAAATTGCAAAACACTGGTATGAACACCAGCCAGACCAGACCCGGTTACAGAGATAGGATCTATAACAATTTAATGGGACTTTATAATACACAGACTGAATAATCAAAGTTAGTCGTCCAGACATCGTCATCAGTGACAACGAAAACAGAATGTGCTTTCTTATTGACATGGCAGTCCCTGCAGATTGTAATGTATCTTTGAAGATCTTAAAAAAAAACTATCAAAATAGAAGGATCTTGAAATGGAAATCTCAAAAATGTGGCACATGGGGACATCAATAATTCCAGTTGTAGTTGGAGCCCTCAGCTTGATTGGAAAATGTTCCGATAGATTCACCGAAGGGATTCTTAGCAGCCCACCCTTTAAAAAAATAGAAAAAATTGTACTCACAAGTACAGCGTTCACTTTACGAAGAGTTTAATCTCAGTAAAATGTGGGTGATTTTATTTTTATTTTATTAAAAGATCACGACAGCTATTAAAGAGATGTGATTAAATATACTTTAATGTTTTAAAAAAAATTATTCAGTATTATTATTGTCTAGAAAATAAGCATTATAACATATCACAAATAGCTATATTGTGGAAAACGTAAATTTCGACAATATACGGACTTTTTACGTATTTATGGTTATTTTTTTAAACTTTTATCAAAAACGACATTCTTGTACATGTAATTATGGATAATACTATACATTAATTATTAATTTTTTAAATTAATAACTATTTGTGCTCAATTGTTAACATTAATAGCTATCTGTTAAAATTTTTTAAGATTAATGTCTATCTGTGTTAAAATTTTGGAATAATGCAATAATAAAAATTTAAATTTCATCTCTGATAGATGCTGCGATCTGTAAAACAAATGTTCAGTGGAAAATGTCATGACGCCATTTTTGACCTCAGATCTCTGATTAAGAACCGGAAAGAAATGGGTATACAACAGAAATCAAAGGAAATAATAATAATAATAATAATAATAATAATAATAATAATAATTATTATTATTATTATTATGTAAAAAATAAGGCATAAATTAAGAGGTTGCCAATCAATGTGTGAACACTGTCTACTCTATTATTTAATTTCTTAATTATTTCTCTTATATAATATTATTACAGTTACATCAGATAAAATAAAAATCAAAACGTTTATCTAGGATCCCCCGGATATAAAACATCTAAATATGAAAAAGTTAATAAAAAAATTGTCGATATTCAATAAAAAAGGTTTGAAAGAATTCTTGCAGCCTCAGTACAAATTATATATATATATATATTCATTCAGATATATATATATATATATATATATATATATATATATATATATATATTAAGAAATGGACAAGGTCCGACAATTTATTTATTAAAGACATATTTTTATGTTCTATAAAATAACAACGTTAAACATAAAAATATGTCTTTAATAAAATATATATATATATTCATTCAAAATATATATATACATTCATATATATATATATATATAGGTTTCATTCAATAGCCTCTTAAGGAACTTTGTTTCTGATCAAACCGAATTCATACATAATTACATTGGTCACACTACTACATGCCTATCCAGACGGTTTACGTTACACCTATCCGACCAGAGCTCCATTAGAACCCATTTAAGCACACAAAAAACTTACCAGACTCCATCCAAAGCATACTAGTAGAAAATACAAACATAATAACCTCATACATGTAAAAAAAAACGATTATAAATAATGGAGGTCTTAATAAGAAAAAAAGCAAAAGCCAACACTAAATAATATTAACTCGGAACACGGCCACAATGTACTAACTCTGTTCGGAAAATAAAACCATAGAAACATAGATACAACCCATACATCCTGTTAAAAAGTAAAAATAAAATCTTTCTTAATAATGGCTAAAAGTATAGCGGAAAGCGATCAGAATGACAGTACATTCGGACAGTTTCTACACAATCTTGCTCAAGAAAAGAAAAAAACTTGTTCGCACACAAGAAAAATTAAATAAAAATCTTAATCACAGTACATTACATATCGTCTTTAAAGAAACGTGTATATATATACAATAACCAAAAAACACTATTCTTAAAAGAGTGCTCAATATCAAGTAGAGCTAATAATATTTATTCAACATATATATATATATATATATATATATATATATATATATATATTGTTTTTTTCGCCAGCAATGGTTCATTTATACATGTTTCATTCAAGACGACAGAAAAGGTACTACGATTAAGTTTTTTTTTTCAATTTTTTCTTGTGCTCGAAAAAGGTTTTCTTTTTTTAATTGGGTGTCTGGAAAATACGAACATAATAACCTCATCCACAAGATTAAAAATAACGGAAGCCTTAATAATAAAAAGAAAAAAGCCAACACTTAATTTTATTAACTACGAACACGGCCATAATGTGGTAATCGCGTTTTCGGAAAATAAAACATCCCTATAACTCTAGAAACATACACACAACTACATACACCCTGTTAAAAAGTAAAAATAAAATCATCCTTGATAATGGCTAAAAGCGTAGTCGAAAGCTCTCGGAATTACAGAACATTTGGACAGTTTCCACACAATCTTGCTCAAGAAAAGAAAATAGTTGTTAAACGCAAGAAAAATTAAATAAAAAGCTTAAGTGCAGTACGTTTTCGGTCGTCTTTAATGAAACATGTATAAATGAAGGATTAGTGCTTAAATACACAATATCACAATATATATGTGTGGAGTGTGGGGGTATGTCTTTGTGCATGTGTGTGTAAAAACTATGATAAAGTTGAAAAAGTTATCTTTGTTTCTTTATTTCTGGCCCCTAACAAGGCCACAGCACTTATGTACTGATTATTCGATTTATTATTTTCATCTTGGTTGTTTTTTTTTACTTTTTTTTCTTTTTTTTTTTTTTTTTTGGTTGGGCGGTGGCGTGGGTGGGGGGGTCAGATTTATTTTCCATTTTTCTCCGTGGGAGAATTTGTTATTGTAAAAAAAATTTAATAAAAAAAAAAAACCAAAAAACAAACAAACTCCCAATGTATTCTTATTTTAGTACTTATAGAAACTTTGGCAACGATTGTTACTTAC